AGAAAGTGGGGGCTGCACAGGTCACCCATCCTTCCTTCTCCAGTACAGGTTTTAGTGGCCCCTACTCCCTAGGAAACAAAAACTTTCCTTTCTCCTCCCTCCCTAATCACCCATGTGGCTTCCCAGGGTGCCTAAATCTGAATCTTCCTCAAACACAGAAGTTACACCTTGACTTAGCAGTTTGGGTCGGCAGGCTTTACTTTTTTGCCCACTTTTTTTCCCTTTGCATTCTACGTTCTAAAATGGACCCTTTTTTTTTTTTTTTTTTTGAGACGGAGTGTCACTCTGTCACCAGGGCTGCAGTGCAGTGGTGCAATCTCGGCTCACTGCAACCTCCGCCTCCTGGATTCAAGCAACTCTCCTGCCTCAGCCTCCCAAGTAGCTGGGACTACAGGCGCGTGCCACCACACCAAGCTAATTTTTGTATGTTTAGTAGAGATGGGTTTTCACCACATTAGTCAGGATAGTCTGGATCTCTTGGCCTTCTGATCCGCCCGCCTCAGCCTCCCAAACGGCTGGGATTATAGGCGTGAGCCACCACATCCAGCCCTCTAAAATGGATTTTTAATCCCCCAGGTATCAAATCTCATGAGTGTGTACCTGCTTAAACGACATGGTTAATAACAAGAATGACCTGCAAAATAAATAGCCCTTATGTTTTGAGATAGGGAAATGCTCCAAGAGAAGACAGAATCATGCCTTATTCAACCAGCACAGTCGAGCTTTCTCTGAGCCAAAGTTCTCCCGGGAAAGAAGAGTTTCCCTAAAGAAAAGAAGCACAACAAAGTCTGGCCCAGCATCCCTTGCAGTCTCCAAACTTAAACACAGGCCACATTCTGAAACCAAGGCAAAAACTGGAAATAACTGACAAGGGAGCTGCCCTTGCGCTCCTAACCCACATACCAAAGGCCCACGCGACTCTGGCAGAACGCTGGGTAGGAGGCACTTACACACTCCCATCTGGGCCGTTACAAGCATGCAGTTCTTTCTCCTCTTCCAGTCACAGTCTCAGGCACTTCCACGGCCAACAAAGAGGGGGTGAGGACTCCAGCAGGAGCCCAGTGTGCATCCCCACAAGGGGACCTTTCAACCTCCGCCCGCAAGCACCGCCTGAGGATGAAGTCAGCCTCTCTTCTGCAGGCCACGAAACAAGCTGACTTTGTGGCCAGACGGCCAGCCCCCTTGTGAGGCGCTGAAGCTGGAAAAGGATTGGTTTCACCCACGGGGATCTCATTCCCTATGCAGGACACCCAGCCAAACCATTTGTAAATATGTACATTCAGGGGACAGGCATAGAAACATTTACAAGAGCCTCTGTGAGGGACATCAGGGTTGCCCTTTCCTCTCTTCCTCCCTCTCTCTGTTCGCTGACCATAAGTCACCCTGTGCCCACTGCCACCACCACCTCCAGGCTCACCTCCCAAAATATCTCCCCCTGCTTCCATGATGATAGCCTCCTGCTCCAAAATCTCTAATGGCTTCCCACTTACCACAGACCATGTTCAAACACTTCACCTTGGCACTACAATTCCTGCAAGATGTGGCCATTTCACCTCCCCTCTCCTCTTGGCCCTTCTCTACGTGCCTCTCCCTCCTCTCTAGTCACACAGCCTCGTAGCTAACAACACATTCAGACCAGGTTCAAATCCCAACCCCACCATTTAATAGCTGAAGATCTTGGGTGTGGTACTTAAATGGCTGGATATTTCAGTTTCCTCATCCGTAGGGCAGGGGTAATGCTAGTACCTACTGTTCAGGTGAGTACAGTGCTGACGAAGTAAGAAAATACAGGTAAAGTGTTCAGAATAAAACCTGACACATGGTATCACTCAATAATTAGCTATTAAAATACTTATTATTTTACCCCTACAAGTCACTTATTTCACGAAGCCTTTCCTAGCAACACCAGTGAACATCCTCTGTTTCTCAAATGTTCCGTAACCATCAGAAAGCATAAATACTGACTGGAATTGCTAGGAACTGTTTCATGGGGCAGGTTTCTTGGATGGTAATCAGGTGTTAATATTATCATTATGAAATTCATGTCCTAAAACACATACCAATGGCTCCCAAATTATCTCTCCCTCTAATGTCTCAATAAATTCACTACTGAGGGATACTACCTATTTGTATAGTAACAGATTTTGTTTTTTTGGATGCAGGGCTTAATTCTATTAAAGAATAGAAATTTATTAAGGGCAGGGATCACACTACATCCAGTGCACACCAGAGTTCCCACCATAGTACCACAGTGGATCATTAAGCCACCTTAATGGATTCAGAAAATCAACCTTGTTGAATTTACAAAGAGAATACTGTATTACTTAAAAAAAAAAAAACAAAAGTAGTACATGGAAGATTAAGTGGACGCTCAGAATAAGAGTTAAAACCTGCCCTTTCAGATAGAAAAATTAGCCAGCATGGTGGCTCACGCCTGTAGTCCCAACTACTCAGAAGGCTGAGGCAGCAGGATCGATTGAGCCTGGGAGGTCAAGGCTGCAGAGAGCCATGATTGTGTCGCTGCACTCTAGCTTGCGCAACAGAGCGAGACTCTTACTAATTTCTGCCTTGTTTTAGACCTTTGAAGACTTCCTAACTTCTCTTCTGAATTATAAGCTCCATTTCTCCCAAGTTTGAACACCCCACGGCTCGCACTACAGTGTCTTACTGAGGACTGAACCAATGTTTCAAGCAGAGGGGAACCCAAATTCCACTGTAGTATCCACTATATCCAAGACCATACAACCATAATTATAAAGGCACTATGCAACAGAAAGCTTCAGAGGGCCTATTTTAATGAATAAGAATATACAAAGTCCTGTTAAGAAAATGGTTGTTTTGAAATATTGGAGTGTATTTAAAATAGCCCTAGTTTCAAGGCCAGGCATGGCGGCTCACACATGTAATCCCAGCACTTTGGGAGGCTGAGGCAGGCAGATCACTTGAGATCAGGACCAGCCCAGCCAACATGGTGAAACTCCATCTCTACTAAAGAAGGATACAAAAATTTAGCCAGGTGTGGTGGCACGTGCCTGTAATCCCAACTACTCAGGAGGCTGAGGTGGGAGAATTGCTTGAATTCGGGAGGTGGAGGCTGCAGTGAGCTGAGCTGAGATCACGCCATTGAACTCCAGCCTGGGCAACAGAGCAAGACTCTCCATCCACCCCCCAACAGAAAAATCAATCAATCAATAAAAAAATAAAATAGCCCTAGTTTCAGCACAGGTTGGGGCGAACATTTGCTCAGGTGTTGCCCTAGGCAATGTCATCCCTACTATGGGCAGCTCCATCAGAGCCTGCTCCGGACTTCCCTCCGCCTCCTCACCTGTTCAGCTGGGAAGATGCAGTGCGGAGTGGTCAGTGTGCAAGGGGAAATGGCATTTGGACAGCAAGGCTTTCCTCTCCCTCTATCTCTAGAATAAGAGCTGCCCCAAGGGAACATGCCTGCTGCTCTCTCTTCCTGGCAAACTGCGCCCTTGCAAAGAAGTCTGCCCTTCCCGGGCACTGATGGTGCCCTGCTGGGTAAGTCTGAGTCATTTGGGGGTTCAGTAAAAGCCTGCTTCCCTGCAGATATGAGCCACAGAGTCTCACATCAGTTTTATGAGGAATAAAGGTGACGTTTGGCAACCTGCTGACATCTTAGTCTTCTTTGTCAATTTGCTTAGAACCCAGGAGGCAAAGAATGGTGTTATTTCTTGGGCTCTCTCAAAATCCCCACCACATTCCCCTGTGATCTAAGAGGACTACTATGGGGGAAAAAAGGAAATTCAAGAAAAAGAGGTCCCGCATGTATCTCTACCAGCATCACACACCAGGCCTACTTCTGACCAAAGAATGGCTGAAAATCCACCCCTCACCCACGAAGACACCACTCACCCTACAAGCAACCTGTCTAGAAAGGTGGAAAATGCTCCATTCCCCATTCCCCATTATTTGTGAGAATATCTAAGCTTTATCATACTTCCCATATAGGCCAAATTAAGTGTTTCAGCTGCTATGTGAAATCCTGGCAGCTGGCCAGGCACAGTGGCTCACGCCTGTAATCCCAGCACTTTGAGAGGCCAAGGTGGGTAGATCACCTGAGGTCAGGAGTTCAAGACCAGCCTGGCCAACGCGGTGAAACCTTGTCTCTAATAAAGCTACAAAAACTAACTGGCCATGGTGGCAGGCACCTGTATTCCCAGCTAATAGGGAGGCTGAGGCAGAAGAATCGCTTGAACCTGGGAGGTGGAGGTTGCAGTGAGCTGAGATCAGGCCATTGCACTCCAGCCTGGGTGACAAGAGCAAAACTCTGTCTTAAAAAAAAAGAAGACAAAAATCCTGGCAGCCATCCTATAACAAAGGAAAAGGACAGAAGTGTACAAGAAAAGATTGTATATTTCATCAGGAACAGCTACAAACAAGGCTAAGATAAAATACATAATTGTCTGACAAACAGACGATTGTGATGGACAATGACGTGTCCATGATGCATCCAATGATTGATGGACAACGATGGACAATGGGGACTCAGGGGTTGTAGGGCTGGATGATGAGAGGCTGCCTGGTGGGTACAACGTGTGTTGCTCCCGGGATGGAGGCACCAAAGGCCCTGACTTCACCACAAGGTAATATATCAATGTAGCAAAATTGCACTTGTACCCCATGAATCTACACAGATGTTTTAAAATTTAAAAATTAAAAGAAGAATTCTCCACCAAAAGCATCAGATAGCATCTACACTACTACTAAAGATCAAGCTGTTGATTGGTTTTCCTGTTTAGCCAGAAGGCACTGGATCCTGGAAAACATAGAGCAGGCTTCAAGAAGGTTCAAGGAAACCAGGTATACCCCAAAACACAGGGGGGTACATGGGCGCCATCCTCTAAATCATGTGTTTCCCACACACCCTCATCAAACATCGGAAATAGGCGAGCTGAACACGGACAAACTTACGTGCTCTTTCATCTTGTGAGCCACAGTTGTTGACATCATGATGCAGCAGAGGACGACGACCAGAATGAAGTAGAGGGCGTACATGAAGCGGGTGCTCAGGGACTGCCGAATCCTGGGGCAGCAATCACAGCAGAGAGAGCAGCCTGCAGACCCACAGCAGCAGGCCAGCTAGAAAAGGAACAGAAGGCATCTGCTTAGAGCATGATACTGCGAGAGAATAAGAAATATGGCCAGGCACTGTGGTTCATATCTGGAGTCCCTGCTACTCGGGGGGCCGGAGGATCACTTAAGACTAGGATCGCTTGAGACCAGAGTTCAAGTTTAGCCTGGGCAATATAGCAAGAACCTGTCTCTAAATATATATATTTATTTTTTTATATATATAAATATGTGTATATATATTTTATATATGTGTATATATTTATATATAAACGTGTATATATAGACAAGCTCTATCTAATGTATATTTTATATACACATACATACATACACACACACACACATATATATATATATATTTTTTTAAACAAGGCCCAGTGCAGTGGTTCACACCTTTAATCCCAGAGCTTTGGGAGATCAAGGTGAGAAGATTGCTTGAACCCAGGAGTTTGAGATCAGCCTGGGCAACACAGCAAGACCCCATCTCTTACAAAAATTTTTTCCTTTAATTAGCCACAAACCTGCAGTTCCAGCTACTTGGGAGGCTGTCTCCAAGAAAAACATGACCGGGAAAAAAGAAAAAAATCATATTAGGTTGGTGCAAAAGCAATTGTGGTTTTTGCCATTACTATATATATATGTGTGTGTGTGTGTGTGTGTGTGTGTATCTCTCTCTATATATATATATGAAATTTGGTCTGATGCAAGAGCGTCTGGAATTTCCAGAGTGATAGAGGTTAACAGGAGAGAATTTCGTTACTGATGCTCTTTTTCAATCATACCAGAGCTTGTACTAATGAGGCAACTCTTCCTGGGCCCTTCGATAGCTTCAGGATGGAAGGCTGGCTATATTAGTGGAAACAACCAAGTGGTTTAGAGGGTTGGAACTTTCATGAGCACACACCTGGGCGGGGACTGGAGACTGAGCTAATTACCAATAGCCCACGATTTAAATCAGTCACATGTACATAATGGTGCCTCCATAAAAACCCTAATCAATGGGATTCAGACCTTCCAGTTTGATGAACACATCCATGTGCCGGGAGGGTGGTGTACCCCAACTCCACGGGAACGATGCTCTGGTGCTTGGGACCCTTCCAGACAGCGCCCTGTGTACCTTTTCATCTGGCTATTCATTTGTATCCTTTATAATAAACTGGTAATCACCAGTAAAGAGTTTTCCTGAGTTATGTGAGCCATTCTAGCTAATTATTGAACCTAAAGAGGGCGTGAACCCCTGACTTACAGCTGGTCAGTCAGAAGTACGGGAGACCTAGATTTGCAATTGGCATCTGAAATGGGAAAAGTCTTGTGGAACCGAGCCCTTAACCTGTGGGGTCTGTGCGAACTCTAGGTAGCTAGCATCAGAACTGAATTAACTTGTGGGATGCCCAGTTGGTGTCCTGTACTGCGTCACACCACTTTACCAATGTATTCACACAGGCCTTCTGCAGGTTGACCTTCCAAGCTACAAGATGACCATTCTTCCCAGGTACCTTGACCATATGGCATGCAGGAACAGTTCGGTGTGTGAACAAAGCTTTCATCGGAATTGTTCTGGTGCTATCTTTAATGACAACCATCAACAGTTTGGGAGATGCCCAATTATTACACAGAAAAGGCACAGTTCATCTGAAGTATTATAATCATGACTCTTAGACAAAAAGATTTCTAGAATCAGCTAAGAGCAAGAGAAGAAGCCAAGAACTAGTAAACAAAGTGGGAAGAACATGAAAAACAAAAAGTTGGGCCCAAGAAAGTGAGGGAGAAGAAAAGGAAAAATCAGTTAGGCAGACAGCTAAGGTTAGTCCTCAGAGATACAGCCTAAAAATCAGCTACACGTACAAATAGAGCTGCCTGGGG